CCTCGGCACCTTTGACCCCAGGCCCATCGCGAGCCTGGACCTCGCCTGCACGGCGAGGTGCCCCCGCCATCCCTGGGTTGAGGGGGCAGGCGCGAGAGGGACCGTGGCGGCCGAATGTCTGCAGCTGGCCAAGCTGGCGCGGCCTTCGGAGAAGCTGGGCGCCAGCTTCCTCAGCATCAACGGCTCCACGTGGACCGAGTCCCAGACGGCTCTCGAGCAGCTGCTGGACGAGAAGGTCAGGGACGATGTGTATTTCATCCAAGAGACCCGCTTCACTTCGGCGCTGGCGGAAGGCTCGGCCCGCGCCTGGTGCAAGCGGAACGGCATCACTGCGGCCTTCGGAGAGTGCCGCAGCACGGGGGCGGCGGTCCAGGCAGTCTCGTCTGGGGTCGCGGTTCTGGTCGGGGAACACCGCGGAGTGGCAGCGATTGACCAGGCTTGGGGCCAGCACGCACCGAGGATCGTGGCCAGGCGCGTTGCCTTCGGGGACCTGGTCGTGGTGTGCGTCAGTTTGTACCTGCAGTGCTCGGTCAAACTCAACGAGTCCAACGTGGACCTCTTGAGTGAGCTGCAGGGTTTCCTGCTGAGCTTGCGGGAGCCCTTCGTAGTGGGGGCCGACTGGAACTTGGAGCCCAGCCTCCTCAGCAGCTCGTGGTGGCCACGAGCAGTGGGGGCAGTGATAGTGGCGCCTGAGGAGCCGACCTGCGGTGACAGCACCTACGACTTCTTCGTGATCTCAGACGTACTGGCTGGGCTAGGGCCGAAGGTGTCGGTGCTTAGACAGGCGACCACACACCCACACGTACCAGTCAGGCTCACCTTCGAGAAGTTGAGCAGCCAGGCAGGGATCTGGGTGCAGAAGGGCCCCGAGCCTTTCGAGCTGCCTGCGGCCAGGCAGGAGGGGATCCAGCCCGAGCCAGAGGAGGAGGACTCGCTGACGGGCTGGAAGGCGCCGCTCCTGGACGAGAAGGGGAGTCCGAACAAGGCGATCTCCGAGTTCTTTGTCCTGGCAGAGGAGCGCCTGATTCACCTCCTCGGCATCAAGGACGGCGCCAAGTACAGAGGCAGGGCGCAGGGGCTCAGGAGGGTACCCAAGCAGCTCATCCACCTCCTGCGCTCTGAGGAGGTCCGCAGGACCAGCCCGCTCACTCGTTGCTGGATCACGTTGGGGCGCCTGGCCACTCAGCTGGCGGCCGCGGCGTCGGTGCCTCACCCCTCGCAGGGGCACCGCAAGCACGTCAAGCGCCTGCAGGAGGCCGCACTAGGCCTGGTCCCCAAGTTTGAGGCAGCTGGCTGTGACATTTTCGGCGGCACCAAGATGGAGACGATGCTTGAGGAGATCTCGGGCAGGTCGCAGCAGGGCGGCATCTTCCTCCAGGCCATCAGTGCCGCCGTAGAGGTCAAGCGCAAGGAGGACGTGAAGCTCGCCAGGCAGCGCTGGAAGGAGTTCATGGCCGAGGCCCTCAGCGGGAACGGGAAGGGCGCCCACGCGATCATCAAGCAGGCCAACCTCGAGTCTTGCTCCATCCTCGGCCCAGGCGAGGGCGAGGCCCCCCCAGTCCCGCTGGTCGGGCAGCAGGCCCTGGACAGGATCCTGCAAGAGTGGAAGGCGCTGTGGCACAAGGACGGCTCCTCCAGCGTCCGCCCAGAGAACTGGGAGGAACCCTTCGGGTTGGACGCGATCACGGCGGAGGAGGTGCTGGCAGCGGCGAAGACCTTTCCCAGGAAGACGGCGCTGGGATGGGACGCATTCCACCCCAGGCTCATCCTCAGCTTAGGCAGGGTGTACGCCGAGAGGCTGGCCGAGATCTTGACAGCCTGGGAACGCCGCCCTCAGGAGTCGGAGCTTTTTACCACGATCATTGCTTTCTTGGGGAAGCCCGACGGGGGCCGACGCCCGATCGGTCTCCTTTGCATGTGGCTGCGCATCTGGAGCCGCATCAGGCGCAAGTACTGCGCGGCCTGGGAGAAGGACCACACGCTCCCCGAATACTGGGGGGCAGACACGGACACATGTTGCGACAGGGCGGTTTACATTCACAACCTTCTGCTCGGCCTCGCGAGGGAGAAGAACTTCGAAGCGGCATCGGTCTACTTCGACATCAGCAAGTTCTACGAGCAGATCAGCCACGAGCTGCTGCTCGAAGCGGCCCGAGGCTGTGACTTCAACACAGGGTTGATACAGGCGCTGTGTGTGCTGTACTCGGGCCCTCGCAGAGCCAGGGCTGACCTAGCCCTCAGCGAGCAGCTGGTCATAGACGACACCGTCATCGCGGGCTGCTCCTGTGCGACGACCATGGCGAGGATCATGCTTCACGACCTACTCCTGCAGTCGAGGAAGATGTTGCCGATAGGCAGGGTGGCCAACGTGATTGATGACATCTCGGGCCACGGCATCGGCACGCGCAGGCTCGTCGTAGAGCAGATCGCCAGGTTCGCGAAGGGAGTGGCCACCATGCTGGGGGACAAGCGGCTCCCCATCAACTGGGGGAAGGCCAAAGCACTGGCTTCCTCAGCGAAGCTGAGGAGAGAGCTGCAGCAGCACGCCAACTGGGTCCTCGCAGACGAAGCCTTTGTCGCTGGCCACCGCGACCTCGGAGGAGACGCGACAGCGGGCAGCCACCGCAGAGTCGGGACGCAGGTGGCCAGGGAGTTGGCGGCGCTGCGGCAGGGCAACAACCTCACCAGGATCTTCGGCTCGGGGATGAGGCAGGCCAAGATCCAGAGGGCAGGCCCCGCGGCCAAGGCCCTGTGGGGCTCGGCCATCAGCGGGATACCTCCTGGGCGCATGAGGGCGCTCAGAATATCTGCAGCGAAAGCCGCCTGCAACCTGCCGACGGGCGCCGCGCTGACGTTCTGCCTGCAGTGCGCGCCCCAGGGCTGGAGGCAGGATCCGCTGGTAATTGCGACGGGCATGGCGGTCCAGGCGTTTGTGGCCATGAGCTGGTCTGGCCAGGCCTCGCCTGCGGCAGTGCAGGCCTGCCTCAGGGACAGCAGCCGTCTGGCCTCGCTGCAGAGGCCGTGGGCCGCGGTGCGCGACCCCGTCTCGGCGCTGGTGCTCACGCTAAGGCGAGTCGGCTGGGGCCTCAGAGCAGGCGGTCGCACCCTGACCGACAGGGAGGGCTGCGAGTTCGATGTCATGAGATTCTCGCCCGCTTTCCTCGCCGCCAGGGTCAAGGAGCACACGCGTCAGGCGGCCTCGCTCGAGGAGTACGCCAGCAGGCCCGAGACGTTCTGGCAGTGGGAGCTGCCGCCGTGGTGGACGCCGATCAACCAGCTCCTAGGGGCCAAAGGGTCAGATACCTGGACGGGCCACCACAAAGGCTGTTTGAGACGATTGGCGTCGTTGGCCAGCTGGCCCCAGGCCCGTCTGGCGAGGCATGGGCGTGAGATAGACCCGCTCTGCAAGCTCTGTGGCGCCGCCCCTGGGACGTTGCACCACAGACACCATGAGTGCCCAGCTTGGGCGGCCTGGAGGAGGGACTACTGCCCAGATCAGGTGAGCCAGGCTGCGGTGCAGGTCCACCGCATGGGGGCCCCCTTCGACGAGCTTTTCTGCCAGGGACTCTTCGCCGACATCAGCCTGCTGGTGGCCAGACCAGCCTGGAATGACTGCTGGGCGAGACGATCCTGCGGGTGGGGGGACTGCATCCTGGTGGTTCCCGATGGGTCGTTCGTTTTCACCGACGGTTCGTGCCTGAACGGGGATTTCCCGCACGTCAGGAGCGCGGGCTGGGCGGTCATCGTGCACGGTCCAGAGGGGAGGCTCATCGCCGAGGCGTGGGGCGCAGTGCCCCCCAGCGACCTCCCGTCGCAGACGGCCAAGGCGGGCGAGGACTACGCTGCCGCCATCGGCCTTGCAGACATCATCGGGAACTACACGCTGCTCAGCGACTGCCTGAGCACGGTCAAAGCTGCGTCTAACCTGGCCAAGGCCTGCGGCCCCAGCTCCCTGCACGCCCACGTTTGGGCCAGGGTGGGAGATGCGGCGGAAGGCGTCACCATTCGCCACGCGCCCGCCCACCGCACTGAGGCCGCGGTGCAGGACGGGGATTTCACCCTCTTCGAGCTAGTGGGCAACAGGCGCGCCGACACCAGGGCAAAGGAAGGAGCGGCCTTGCATGCCACTGCGGAGCAGGACGCCCTGATGTTGGAGGGCTGCCTGGCTCGGGCGAAGGAGGCGGCCAGGTACGCGGCTGCCCTCGAGGTGCACATCACGGAGTCAGGGCTCAGAGACTCCTGGCCGCTCACCTCTCTGGACCTCGTGGACCTGGACCCCTGCGCCCAGTCGCCCGCCCTGGGGTTGCTGCTGGAAGCTGAGGAGTCGACTGCCCGTGGCCCTGGCGGCATGGCGGCCCTAGGGGCGGCTGCAGCGCTGGCGACGGCAGCGGCGGCAAGCCAGGGAGCCCAGCCCCAGGACCAGGCAGACTCGAAGGAGTGCATGAGGAAGGAAGCGGACGTGGGGTCAGGCGGGCCCAATAAGCCAGCCGTTGTTGAGTCGAGCGCGTCGGCGGCTTTGCATCGTGCGGTCCAGCGTCGCCGTGCTGAGCAGGCGGAGCGGTCAGCGCCCTCTGCCGCGGACGCACGTTGCCCGCCCATGTCGGCTATGCCGTTGCCCCCTCCCCCACCTTCCACCGCGGCCGTCCCGCCTCCGAGTGCTCTCTCGGGCCCTTCCAGCCAGAGGAGGGCCCCAGGGCCCATTTTGGAGACCTCAGACTCTGGCCAAAGGTCGAGGGTCTCATTTTTGTGTGGTTCGCGAGATGGCCTGCCCCAGGTCGACCCTGGAGAATCGGGAGTCTGGGAGGTCAACGGCCACCGTCTTCGCGAATCAAGAGTTTCAGGTGGGGACGGGCCTGAGTTTTTGGTTTGCGTGGCGTGCTGGATGTATTGCATGAAACCCAGGTACTGCCACAGGGGTCTGGCCAAGGCCTGCAGCGGGGCCCAGCGAGCTGACGACCCCAGGGCCAAAAAGGGCTCGAGGGCGCAGACACGGAATGATTTCGCGAAGTCGATCCTGCCTGGGAAATCCAAGCAGCCGATCGACCAGCTGGCTCGGCCCACAGCGGCCACCCGCGCCAGGTGGGCCAAGTCGCTAGGCTTGGTCGCGGGCCCTGGGGGCGTGGGGGACTCCGAGGCCCCTGCAGGCTCCAGAGCCCCATCAGTGGAGCCCCCAGTGCTGCAGGAGCGGGCACCTGCCCCGCCTGCCCCTGGGAGGCTGTTCAGCCCAGGGCTCGAGGGAGCCCTGAGCTCCTTCGGCTTTGCCTGCGCGGCCGACGCACAGGAGCGTGGCAGGGTCGCCAGGGCGGCCAGGTCGGCGGACCCCAGGCCAGTGTTCGGCCTGAGCGCGGAGTGACGGTCGCGCTTCGGGGTCTGGGCCTGGTCGGCTGCGGGCCCGTGCAAGCTCTGTTTGTGGGGCCGTAAGACGGCGTCCGAATTTGTTGGTGCATGACAAGCCCCAGGGTTATAGGATAAAAAAATGCCGTCACCGTAGTAAAACAAAGCAATGTACCAATTATCATGCCAGTGTCGAATGATCCACTCGTTCTTTTGTTTAAGCAATCTCCCCTTGTTAGTTACGTTAGTATCATCCGCAGCCGTGTTGGCTCAATTGTTTGAGGCCCGCTGCGTTGCTCGAACACATCTAACCATGTCGGCCGCACGCTTCCATCGCGGCTGCTTCCAGACACCGTTGCGACGAGTTGAGATCTCCAGCTGGCACTCGTTGGGAAGCGCTCGGCAGAGCATCTTCCTGCGTGGGCTGGCAAACGACCTCCTCGCGGCCTCGGCGCCTGGGCTCGTCGTGAGCTCGTGGAGCCACCGCTTCACGGCCGACCGTTTCTACTGGCTTGGCAAGCCGGACATACCAGGCGAGTTCGACGCGGGCTTGGCCACGGTGCGAAGGATTGAGGGGTCTGAGTGAGCATCCGGCTGGTCGGGGCTACAAATTCCTCAGGGCCCCCTCAACCAGGACAGTGTCAACCGAGAGCTTGGCCATGCCACCTGCTGGGAACGAAGAGCGGAGAATGTTTCGACCCACGGCTGCAGTGCTCTTGGAGCAGTGTCCTGGTTTACCGGAGTCCCCGCTTAAGGGGGCCTTGCATTGCCTGAGTGCGTGGCGCACCTGAAGCGGGATTTTTGCGGTGCGGATTCCTGTCGCTCTTGTACTCGCCGCCGTCGCTTCGCGCGCTCCGAACCCTCCCGGCTTGCCAGTGGCCCGCCCAGCAACGCACCGAGGGTCCGCTCTCGCAGCCCGCGCCCATGCCTGCGTCCCAAGTTTGCGACCCGCGCCCCATCATGGTGTCCTCGTCCGCGGGGGTTCGTGCCAGGGTTTCGCAGATCGGGCGAAGAGAAATGTGCACATACAGCCGGAGCCCTGAAGAAGGAACCCTCTTCGATGGGGAGGGGCTCGGTGTTCCTTGATTGTTCGACAGTTTGCCTTCTGTTGTCCTTAGGTTTTCCATGGGAAATCGAAGTTTAACTTATGGAAAAAAAGGGGCCTCGTTCCTTATTTGGGGTTCCTTAGGTCAACGCCCCGACTGTACACGGATCCTCCAGGACCATCCTGGGTTCAGAGTGGGCTTAGGTCACCCGCGGGGGCGCGATGAGGCTTGTGCTTCGCGAGCCGCGAGCTGGGCCGGAGCGGTGGCCCTGCTCTTCTCGGAGGGTGGCGGCGCGAGGGCGCGAAGACAATCGTGGGGAGCGAGGCGCCACGCCATGCGACCTGGCCGCAAAGGGAGGGGTGTCCTGAGGCGGGGCTAGGGAGCGTGCGCGGTGGAGTGCATTCATCTCCCGCTTCCTATCAGGAGGGGGAAAAACACACAAACACAAGTAATCGTCGAGTCCCACGAAAATGTGGGAAGATATGGGAAGTGGGGGGGAAGACAAAAACCCAGAAAGTATGGGAAAATATGGGGAATCATTTTATGTGTGTGTATTTATTTGTGTATCCTGGGGCCCCTTCATCCTAGGGCCGCTCAGGACGCGATTTTCCTCCAAACCCACCCCGATCGTGGCGCCAGCGGGGGAGCGCATCCGCAGGCGACCCGCGCCCCCTCTCGTCCGCAGCTGCGGGGGGCTGAGTGCCACGGGGGGGGGGGGGGGGGGGTCGCCTGGACACGCCGAAGCACGCGGCCCACGCGCGCCAGCTCCTCTTCCTGAAAGGGGGGGGGGGGGGCGGAGGGCAGGCGGGCGGCGCTCCAGGACGGCCCCGGGGAGAGCCCTGGGGCGCGCTCCGGCCCCAGCAGGAGGGGGACGACGGCGGATGAGGTCTTTGCGCGCTCGTGGGCCTTCGGATAGGATGATGATGATTATGATGGTGGTGGTGGTGATGGTGATGCTCATGGTGATGATAGTGATGATGGTGACGGTGACGGTGCTGCTGCTGCTTGTGATGATGATGTGGTGGTGGTGTTGATGATGACGACGATGATGGTGTTGATGACGATCATGCTTATGATGATGATGATGCTGATGTTGATTATGCTGATGTTGATTATGCTTATGATGATAATGATGATGATGTTGATGATGGTGGCGATGATGATGATGCTGAATACGATGATGGTGATGATGTGGATGATGACGTTGATCACGATGAATACGATGATTATGATGATGATGGTGATGATCATGGTGATGGTGATGGTGATGATGGTGGTGCTGATGATGATGATGATGATGGCGATGGTGTTGATGATTGTGATGGTGGCGATGATGCTGATGGTGACGATGATGATGCTGATGGTGACGATGATGATGATGATGGTGCTGCTGATGATGATGACGATGCTGATGGTGATGAAGATGATGGCGATGATTAGCATGATGGTGATTGTGATGGTGATGATGGTGGTGCTGATGATGATGTTGATGACGATGCTAACGATGGCGATGCTGATGATGACGATGATGCTGATGATGATGACGATGATGACGATGGTTGTGGTGGTGCTGCTGATGCTGATGATGACAACGCTGATGATGATGAAGATGATGGCGATGATTAGCATGTCTGTAATGGTGATAATGATGATGATGATGGTGGTGCTGATGCTGGTGACGATGATGATGACGATGATGATGTTGATGCCGATTGTGATGATGATGTTGGTGATGATGATGAGGATGGTGGTTGTGATGATGGTGGTGATGATGATGATGATGATGTTGATGGCGATGCTGATAATAGCGATAATGATGATGATGATGTTGATGACGATGCTGCTGATGATGGTGATGGTGATGATGGTGTTGGTGGTTGTTATGGTGGCGATGATGATGATGATAATGATAATGACGATGATGATGATGACAATGACGTGGACTATGTTAACGATGACGATGACGATGCTGATGATGAGTATGATGGTGATGATGGTGATTATCATTGTGATGATGATGATGATGTTGGTGATGGTGATGGTGATGGTGACAGTGATGATGGCGATGGCGATGGTGATGGTGATGATGATGGTGATTATAATGAGATGAGAATGATGACGATGATGATGATGATGATGATGATGATGATCGGGGTGACGGCGATGGTGATGGTGATTTTGATCATGGTAATGATTGTGATGATGATGATGGGCATGGCGATGGCCATGGCCATGGCCATGGCCATGATGATGATGGTTGTTCTGATGATGGTGATGGTGATGGCGATGGCGACGATGCTGATAATGACGACGACGATGAAGATGATGCTGGTGATGGTGATGATGGGGATGCTGATGATTAGGCTGATGCGAATGTAAATGATGAGATGGTGATTATGATGATAATGATGATGATGATGGTAATGGTGATGGCGGTTCTGATGATGACTATGATCATGCTGTTGGTGGTGATCGAAGTAGTGATGATGGTGGTGACGATGGAGATGATGATAATAGCGATGGTGATGATGATGACAATGATCATGATGATCATGTTGCTTATGATCATGATTGTGGTGATGACGATGACGATGATGACGATGATGATTAGAATGATGATTATGATGTTGATGATGAAGATGAAGATGATGATGATGATGATGATGATGATGATGATGATGATGATGATGGTGATGGTGATGGTGATGGTGGTGGTGATGACCATTGAAGATGTTGATCGCCCCCATTTGTATACACCAGGAATAATGCAGATGAATGACCAGCATGATGTTTGGCTCGGACAGGGAGCCGCACGCGCGGTGAAGCCTCTACGGTTGCCCAGTGGTCCGACACACCCTGTTGTTTCTGCATCCTGCCGCGCAGGTGTGACAGCCACCGGTGACTGAAGAGCGGCTCCAGCCAGGCAAAACCGGCCCGAGGACTGCCGAGGCAAGGCGACTACAGATATGATGACCACCCACCGAACGTCACCACCCAGAAAAAAGACGGATTTGATGAAACATGCCTCCGTGAAGCATCCCTTCTGTGGCACGACTCCGCGGAGCACACCCTCGGGAAGAAACACGCCACGAGGAAACATGTCTGATGAAGTACGCCACGATGAAGCACGCTGTGATGAAGAACTCCAGAATGAAGCCGTGCACGACAGTGAAGCACGTCACGATGTACTACTCCACCATGAAGCACTTCACGAAGCACTATTTGACGAACCGCTCCACGACGACGCAATCCACACCGAAGCACTCCTTGGTGAAACACTCTAGGAAGCACGCCGCCGGGAAGCACGCCTCCTTCAGGCATGCCGCAATGGAAACACGTCTCCGTGAAGCAGGCCTCCTGTGAGGTACGCCACAGTGAAGGACCCCCGAAGAAGCCCTCCTCGATGTACCACTCCACAACGAATTACGCCCTGGCGAGGAAGCTCTCGATGAAGCCTTCCCCGATGAAGCCAACCACGATGAAGCACGCATTCGCTCGGTGAAACACTCTGCAAGGAGGCACGCCTCCGCGAAGCACGCCTTCGTGAAGCACGCCACGATGAAACACGCCAAGTTGAAGCACGCTTCTCCGAGGAAGCACGCCACAATGAAGCCCTCCAGGAAACCCTCGATGAAGTACGCCTCCATAATGAAGCATGGTTCCCCGATGAACACGATGAAGCTTTCCACGATGACGCCCTCCAGGGAACCCTCAACGACGCACCACTCCACGATGAAGCACGCCACTCCGTGAGGAAGCACGCCGCCGTGAAGCACGCCACAGTGGAGCACGCCACTATGCAACATCGAAGCACCGCCACGAAACTCTCCACGGTGAAGCACGCCGCGATGAAGCACATCACGATTAAACACTCCACGATGAAGCGTTGAAGAAAGCACTTCTGATGAAGCGATCCTTCGGTGCGCACCCCGAGCTAAATATGACACATAGCGCTGGTAGCCAACTTGAGAGCGCAAGGCTGCGCGCCACAAGACCACGAGGTATATCACACGACGCTGCTAGCACAGGGGCACCAGATGGAAAGGCTGAGCCCATTGACTGCCTGGCGCCGACGCCGCCAGCGTACGAGTCACACCTGTGGCCCAGCCACCAGAACCACATCTCTGCCGTTGCAGCGGCTCCAGTACTGAAGGTGATCTGGGTGATAGTCGATTGCGTATCGTAGGGGTACAGGAGATGAAGAAACAGCTCGTTGTTGGGGTCTGGTTGGGAGCCGCACGTGCGGTGCAGTCGTAATTGTTGCCCGATGGTCCGACACACCCTGTTGTGTTTGCACCCTGCCGCGCGGGTCCGACGGCCACTGGCAACCGGAGAGCGACTCCAGCCAGGCAGTAACGGGACAAGGCGATTACAGAGATGTTGATGATGCTGATGTTGATGACGACGATGCTGATGACGGTGGTGATGACGATGGCAATGATGCTGCTGCTGATGATGACTCTGACGATGATGACTGGTGATGATGATGATGATGATGATGATGATGATGATGATGATGATGATGATGATGATGATGATGGTGATGGTGATGGTGATGATGATGATGATGGTGATGATGAGCTGGTGATGATGGTGATGATGATGCTGGTTGTGATGCTGATGCAGATGATACTGATAATGGTGATGGTGATGGTGGTGGTGATGGCGATGGTGGCGAACAATCATGATGGTGATGGTGCTGCTGGTGATGGTGATGTTGATGCTGGTGATGTTGGCGATGGTGATAGCAGGTACGATGATGCCTGTGGGTATTATGATGGTGGTGGCGATGATGATGGTGACGATGATGTTGGTGATGGTGCTGGTGGTGATGCTGATGCTGCTGATGATGATGGTGACGACGATGGCGATGGCGATTACGACGGCGAGGGTGATGGTGATGGCGATGGCGATGACGGCGCTGCTGATGACAGTGATGATGATGGTGATGGCGATAGCGATGGTGATCGTGGTGGTGGTGGTCATGATGGTGGTCATGGTGATGGTGATGGTGATGACGATGATGGTGGTGGTGATCCTGATGTTGTTGATGATGATGATGTTTATATGATGACGACGATGATGATGAGGAAGGCGATGATAATGATGATAGGGGGCTTGCCGTGGAGGAGCCCGCACTCTGCGCGGTTGGTCCTGGCGATGTTCGAGCCTAGGGGCAGAGATCCGCTGTTGCTCTACGCCGTCGACCGCATTTGCACCGATGCTGCCGGGCGGCCCGCGACACCAGAAGGGCCGTTGGAGACGGCCTTAGACGTCTGCTCGCCGAGGGCGAGAAGAGGAAGAGGAGGAGGTGGAGGAGGAGGAGGACGACGACGAAGAGGATGAAGACCAGTGTACTCCCACGACTCATCAACGATGTTGGAATAAAGCCCTTCCTCCAAGCTCCCTCTTCAGAGGCCCCTACAAGAGTGCATTTCCAGTGAGGAAAACTGCCTCGTTGGAGACAACCGTTTGAAGACCTTGACGCGTGCCAACACACCGTTCACGGGACTCCAGAACGAATGTGCGCGGCGCTAAGGCGAGAGCCACATTTTGGAAGCAACTTGCCCACAATCCGCGAAGCTCTTGCAATTTGGTTTGAGAATGTACGCGGCGTTGAGGCGAAGGCCACATTTTGAAAATTACCCGCCATCAATGTGCGAAACTCTTGCCAATGTTGAAAACCAATGTGAGCGGCGCTGAAGCGAGAGCGAAAGTTTGTAAACGACCCGCTCTCAATCCGCGAAGGTGTGAAAATGTTGCCAATGTTTAAGCTTCAGGGTCATAAGTGGCGAGGAGGTCTCAGGCCAAACGCCGGGTCAGCCCTTTTGACCAGCCAGGGGGTGCGAGCTGGAGGTGTCATTTGTGGGGAAAAAGCAATGGAGGAGGAGGAGGAGGACGACGAGGACGAGGACGAGGACGAGGAGGAGGAGTGGAGTGGCACCGTTGCGATGCACGTTCTAGGATCTAGGAACGCCTGGATTGGAGAGCGTTCAATCGCCGTGTCGGGTGCTCGTCTCGGCTCCAGACTTTGGGATTCAAACCCCTGGCAATATTGTCGAGATACTCTCTGCCCGTGGCTGACTTCCTGTACCTACAAGGGCCTTTGAGGGTCTGCAA